AAAAAAGTTCAAAAAAATTGCACCTGTTTACTACTTCTTGCCACCATGTTGAAAAAACTTGTGACTTCAAATCCATACATCAGCTATAGCAAGCAAAATGGCTTCAACAATACTATAAGCTATTTCAGTTCAGTTAGCTTATAACCTCTATAAATTCTTATTAACGAGAATAATATGCTAATGTGTCAACCTTTGGGACCCTGTCAACAATTGGGTACCTTACCTTAATTGTTATTAAAGGATGGATTTTAAAATGAACTATACTTCATGTCTAGTATTCTTCTGATTCCAAATTTACCATATATGTTGATATTTGGTTCAGCTGTTTTTGCGCGAACGAATGAGTGCGAGAATAGCCTTCTGCGTAGACAATAGGCCTGCCGTTATAAAGACGAATCATATTATGACAGTAATAAGTCAGACGTATTGGTGAGAAATCTATATGAAAAAAACAAAAAACGGACAAAATACATCGAAATCGAGCGGAGGGATGGGACGGACGGTTATATTTTTTATTTAGCTTGGTATTTAGTATACATTTTTCTGTCCCGGAGTTTCGCCCAGTGCCTACCAAGAGAAAAATGTCCGCAAATTTTGTAGTCATTTTGTCATGATAAAGTGTCAAAATATCAGCTTTTTGATTGGCTTGAAATAAAGGTTTGAGACTTTAGCTATAATCAGGTTCTAATTGGTCGACCAGCTCAATAATTTCTGTCAAAGTGAAATCATATAAACTTAAAATAAGCACGTCTTAGCTCTTAGATAGGTTGTGTGTAGTGTGATGCCTTTTTAGTTGGTATTATATCTAAAGTTCATCCCACGAAACGAGATAGTAGAGGTAAACAAACAGACGGAGCTTAAAAATTCAGAGAAGGACTGCAAAAATATGAATTACACCTAATGACATTTATTATTGTCAGGTTGTCATATAAGTCAATAAGTTAAATGTCGTATTTCCTAGTATTTTACAGTTATTTGAATAGTGTTTGGTGAATTATTGTTAATTAGTGAGTAATTAAAATTAAAGCAATATCAAGTTCAACAGATTCCGCTGAAGAATTCGTTCGGAAATATATTCAGAGAAGAGAAATACAAAACAACCTAAGACGGTCCTGCCTAGAGCGGAATATAATCCTTCTCTAGCCAATAAAATTCTACTTACCTGTCAAAGTTTGTTTACTTTCACTATCTCGTTCGCGAATTGAACTTTATTAAGAGAAAATAAAGAATTACCTGTAAGAATTAAGAATCTTCGAATTATTCATATGTATTGTTCCATAATTTTCCTAGCCTCTATTTTTGAAGTTGTAGGTACATACAGGGTGCTACAAATTCGCGAGTAAGTATGGGGATCTCGGTAACCATATTTACCAAAGTAAACAAAGCTACGCAATTTCTTGTTCACCAAAATAACGTTTCGAATACTTCCGGTGAAATTCGCGAAATTTTGCAATATATGGATGGCATTATCAAATTTCAAATCTGACGTTTCGTCTTTGGGCCACCATCATCAATTTTGTTTTCTTAAATACGGATATGGATTTTTCATTTACATAGTTCTTTGCTGGTTTTTGACTTCCCTAATGGAATGGTGTATCAAAACCTCAGATATCAAAACAATCCATAAAATTTCATTTAAAAAGTATGTTAATTTGTATCAAGATAGTCATCCCTGTCAAACTTATTGTGTTCTTCATAAATTTGTTTTTGTGAAACTGATTATTTTATGAAAAGTAGGTACTTAATAAATTAAGTAATTTCGTTTGACCAAGATCAATCTCCATACAAAATTAACATTCTTCTATGACTGAAATCTTCATTTCATAGATTGTTTTGATATACAGGTCTTTCATTTCAAGCATACATTTTTGCTTACTCTAAAAAAATTTCACGAATTTCTGGTCAAGGGAAAAGGAATTCTTTGAGGCAGAGGGGAATGTTTTTTACGTGAAACTGGACTTCGCTTCTTCAACCCCCTAAGCCCTAGGGTTACCACCGCAAAAGTTTCAAATGAGACAGGGGGTCGAGTGATAAATCATTTTAAAGGACTCTTCAATCTGTATGTACAGGGTTATTGGTTATAAATGCCACCCCCCTCTATCTTTTTTATTTGACATTTTAGAAAAAACTGTCCCAAATAAAAGTTTTATGGTTGAAATTAAATTTTTTGAAAAACTCACTTTCGCATATAGGGTGTTTCAGAAAAGCTGGTCGTGCTCCAAATTTTTTATTTCAAATAGAATATCCTGTATATTATAGGATATTCGGATTCTACGTAAAATTCTGAGCAGATTTACCCTATACCTAAGTTCAACTGTTTTGGGAATATTGACAGTTGAAAATTGACTTTTTTGCAACTTTGACAGGCTGTAAATCCTAAACGGTTAATTTTAGAGCAAAACCGATCGTACATTTTTATCTTAGATTTTTTAAACTATCAGTTGACATTAATATTTGACATCAACTTTGAATTTAATTCCTGATTGAAAATTCCAATTAAATTCAATCTTCGGTTAAATTCAAAGTTGGTGTCAGATGATATCTTGTGAAAATCTTAGAAAAAATGTAAGATCGGTTTTGCTCAAAAGTTAACCGTTTAGGTTTTACAGCCTGTCAAAGGACCCCGCACACTTCTTATGGGATTTTGGTTGAACGCGGAATTTAACCAAATTTTGGGATGTTGTATATTTCGACCTCCTGAGTAAAAGTTCTCATGGGTACAAACCGATCCTATGAGTCCTATGACTAGTTTCGGATATACGGGGGTTTTTCTAATACTACGTCAGGCAACCTGAAAATATTGAATTTCAATGCTTTTTCCGTTTATTTGTGGTAGGTAGCTTTAAAAAATGTTGATTAAGTTTAGACCTTTTACAGAAAGGTGCATGTTTTTAGTTAGGTGCCTATATATGTGAATGTACGAGGGTATTTTGAAAAGTACTTGTTTGGTGGGCCTTTGTGTGTTTTTAAAACAAACACAAATAGAAGTATGACAAACTATATACTGTATTTTTTTCCAAGATAGATTTTGACTTGACACTGTCAACTTTGAAACATAAACAATGCCGCTTATTGGTCGCAAGATGCCATTTGCACCTCATGCATTGTAAAACTGATTACAACCTGCAGGGACACCTCATTTTCTGACCAATCAGGGCCAAGCGTTATTGTTTATGTTTCAAAGTTTTCAATGTCAAAATCCACCTTGAGTCCTCAACAATAAGATTTTCATCCTTAAATCCTAACTCGTTTCGACGCTTTACAGCCAATCTACGGACTGGCATCTTTCAGTAATAAAACAGTGCGATTTACTCTTACTCTAATCCTTCATTGCACACGTAGCACATTACCTTTCCCGAATTGCCATTTTCACAAGAAAGGTGACAAAAAATACAATTCGCTTTATTGACAGGGTCACTGTTTTGGTTTCCATGGTTAGCAAGTGAAATATGACATATGAAAAAACAATTTTCATTGCTTTTCTTTCCATGGCTGTTTAGATTTTTCAAACAAATCACCTAGTGTATGTTTACCTAATAACTAAACACTTAAACCCTAGGCCAAGGGATCATGAGGCAAAAAGTTTTTAGCACAAGCGTAGCGAGAACTGGAATTCATTGAGATAGAAAGTCACTTTTATCACAAAACGTAGATACCTGAGTACCTACAAGTACACAATTTTTCACACTTTTGAACATGTTTGGTCATTAACTCATTTAGCTTAGTAATAGCCATAGTTTTTGAGCGCCCCTGGTATATAAAGGAAGAGTTACGAACACCTACTAAACATTTTTAGTTAAGGAAAGATGAAATAAACAACTTTTAAAGCAATACATGTAAGTTTTTTTGCTTAAGTACACTTTATATAGGTACTTAGGTTGCCTAAGGTAGTATTAGAAAACCCTCTGTATATCCGAAACTAGTCATAGGATCGGTTTGTACCCATGAGAACTTTTACTCAGCAGGTCGAAATATACAACATACCAAAATTTGGTTAAATTCTGCGTTCAACCAAAATCCCATAAGAAGTGTGCGGGGTCCTTTGCGAAAAAGTCAATTTTCAACTGCCAATGTTTCCGAAACAGTTGAACTTAGGTATAGGGTATATCACATGAAATCTGCTCAGAATTTGACGTAAAATCCGAATATTGAATAATATACAGGGCCTTCAATTTAAAATAAGAAAGTTGAAGCACGATCAGCTTTTTTGTATATGCATATGTATATGCAAAAGTGAGTTTTTCAAAAAATTTAATTTCAATCATACATTTTTTATTTAGGACACTTTTTTCTAAAATGCCAAATAAAAAAGATAGAGGGGGGTGACATTTATAACCAATAACCCTGTACATTTTGCCGTCCTTTCTTTAAAATTTGACCTCACTGTTGCAGAATAACACCCATTTCAATTATTAAAAATGCCTATCTATCACTCGACCCCATGTCTTAGAAAATTTTGGGGTGGTAGCCCTAGGGCTTAGAGGGTTGAAGGTGCGAAGTCCAGTTTTACGTAAAAAACATTCCCCCTCAATAAATTTGTTGACGTGTTTCGGCGATTTCCAGAAATCTGTCTCTTTACGCTGATAACATAGGTGGTAAGATTTGAAATGAAAGCCCTGTAGGTACTATTCCATTGAGGAAGTCAAAAACTAACAAAAAACTGACTAAAAAATCCAGAGCTTTATTTAGAAAAATAAAGTTGATGATGGTGGCCCAAAGACGAAACGTCGGATTTCAAATTTGATAAAACCATATTGTAGAGGAGAAAAGTGGCAGTGATGAAGTCATTTATTTTGTAGTAAGTATCTCTTCAAATAAGCTCAGAAAAAAATAAAAACCATTTTGCAGAATTTCGTTTTTCTCCGATATCTCCGGAAATATTCGAAATTTTCCGAATTTCGAAACGACTCGCGAATTTGTAACTCACAATTCGTGTAATGTATTATTGCTCATCTTATAAATAATTGTGCTAGCTACAGCAATATTTTCTGTTATTTCAGCACTAAAACTGAAGAAATGATTCACTACCCTTGAAAAATTGATTATTCGTAGGATTAGAGGGAATAAGAAAATCATGGCAACAATACATTTAAGTCAAGACGCTGCAGCTTTGCTTCTGGATTTCAATAAAAAATTGGACATAAATCTTTTGGATAATGTTGTTGCTGGTATGTATACGGGAAATAAAGAAACTCAGAAAGTTGCACACCAAGCTCTAACCAAGCTTAAAGAGCATCCAGAGGCATGGACCAGAGTTGACGGTATGCTAGAATTTTCCAATAGCCCGCACACTAAATATTTTGCTTTACAAATTTTGGAGGAAGTTATTAAAACACGTTGGAAATGTTTAGAAAGACAACAACGTGAAGGCATTAAGAAATACATTGTACAATTGATTATTAAAACCAGCGGAGATCAGGAAAGTCTTGAAAGGAGTAGGACTTTTCTTAACAAGTTAAATGTTATTTTAGTTCAAGTGTTGAAACGTGAATGGCCAAGAAATTGGGGAAGTTTCATACCTGAAATTTTGGGAGCAAGCAGAGCAAATGATAGTCTATGTGAAAACAACATGATAATTTTGAAACTTCTCAGCGAAGAGTTATTCGACTTTTCTTCTGGCAATATAACACAAACTAAAGCAAAATATCTCAAGGATACCATGTGCTCAGAATTTTCTGCAATATTTCATTCATGCCAATTTGTGTTGGAGAGTTCTCAAAATCCTTCACTTATAATTGCAACATTGGAAACATTATTGAAATTTTTAAATTGGATTCCCCTGGGATACATTTTCGAAACAAAGCTGATAACCACTCTGATTTTTAAGTTTCTCACGGTTCCATTGTTCAGGAATGTAACTTTGAAATGCCTCACAGAAATTGCTGGAGTGAAAATTACAAACAATTATGATGATACGTTTACAACTTTATTCATCCAAACTATGACTCAATTAGAGAAGATTCTTCCTTTATCAACAGATATAAAAACAGCATATGCAAAAGGTCTAGATGAAGAACAAAATTTTATTCAGAATCTAGCCATATTTTTGTGTACTTTTCTAAAAGAACATAAGCAAGTAGCTGAATGTCAAAAATCCCCATTTAAAGATGCTTTAGGATATCTAGTACTAATGTCTGAAGTTGAGGAAGTTGAAATTTTCAAAATTTGCTTAGAATATTGGAGTAACTTGGCATCGCAACTTTATCGTGATATTGAATTGCAACACGTAGGTGTACCAGCTCCTCCCCTCTCATCTCTTACTCAAACTTATCAAGAGGTTTTAAATAAAGTTCGATTCATCATGATCTCAAGAATGGCTAAGCCTGAAGAAGTCTTGGTTGTAGAGAATGACAATGGAGAAGTAGTTAGGGAATTTATGCAAGATACTGATGCAATTAATTTGTATAAAAATATGAGAGAAACTCTTGTTTATCTTACCCATTTGGATTATACTAACACTGAGAGAGTCATGACTTCAAAATTGAAGAATCAAGTCGATGGATCTGAATGGTCGTGGAAAAATCTAAACACTCTGTGCTGGGCTATTGGTAGCATATCAGGTGCAATGCACAAGGAAGATGAAAACAGGTTTCTGATAACAGTTATGAAGGATTTACTTTCGTTGTGTGAACATAAAAGCGGCAAAGATAATAAAGCTATAATTGCTTCGAATATAATGTACGTCGTTGGTCAATATCCCAGATTTCTAAGAGCAAATTGGAAATTTCTAAAGACAGTTGTGAACAAGTTGTTTGAGTTTATGCATGAAACACATGATGGAGTCCAAGATATGGCATGTGATACCTTCATCAAGATTGCAATGAAGTGTAGACAACATTTTGTTGTTACCCAGATTAGTGAAACTGCTCCGTTTATTGAAGAAATTCTGCCTAACATGCGCATCATAATTAGTGATCTGCAACCCCAACAATTGCACACATTCTATGAAGCTGTGGGATACATTATTTCTGCCGAAGTTGATCAACCAAGGAAAAAAGCTTTGATTGACAAATATATGCTATTACCCAACCAGGTATTTGTCCAAAAACATTGTTTAAACAGTCTTTAGTAAAAGTTCTTATGTGTTAAATTCTCTCCTGTTCTGGCGATCACATAAATTCCGCTAGATGGCACAATAGACTGTTTATACAATGCTAAAAATTATGCATATATTCCTGGAATTGATACTTACCACTATTTTCTTGGCTTTCAGGTGTGGGATGAAATTATCAAAAAAGTAAAGAAAAATTTTGATTGTCTAAAAGAAATTGAAGTAATAAAGCTAGTTGCCGTCATTATGAAGACAAATGTTAGGGCTTGTAAAGCCTTAAATCATGCCTACGTTTATCAGCTTGGCAAGGTGTATGTAGATATGTTGAGTGTATATAAGGTAAGTGAGTACTGATGGGAAAATTCATTTTTTCTGTGACGGGAAAAAAAGAAGACTTTTTAAACCTGTTGACAGGGGCAAAAATGTCTCCTACGGGAAAAAAGTGATATTTTTTTTTCCGATGGAAAAAGTAACTGGTACCAGTCAAATTTTTTCCCAAGGGAAAAAAGTAGCAAATACGGTCACAGAAAAAAAGTAGTGTATAAGTAGATGAGGAAAAAGTGAGATTTTCAGTCACAGAAAGAAATAGTGTATTATAGATGGGAAAAAAGTGAGATTTTAGCGCTTACTTTGTTGTCTCCCTTTTTATTTGTTTTGTGACCTCTCAAGATGTTTTTTTTCTGAAATGTCCTTAATACTATCCAGGATATGAATATTATAAATAAAACTCTTAATATGTACTTTCTTGTTGTAACCCTTCTATTTATTTCATTTCTTTGCCCTTTATGTTCATTATTACTGAATAATTTTGTTAAGGCTCCCTTATACTATCCAGGATATGAATATTATAAATGAAACTCTTACATATTATGTATTTTCTTGTTGTAACCCTTCTATTTATTTCATTTCTTTGCCGTTTATGTTCATTACTACTGGATAATTTTTTAAAAGTTTTCAACATCTCTGACAAGCTGTTTTTCACTGATCTTGATCGATTTTGTCGTTGAAGTACCTATTTCTGTATTGTTGTTTGTTTGTTTGTATTGTTTTCTATAGCTTCGTTTATTAGTTTTGATGGAAAAAGTTAGATAGATACTATTAATTTTTTGGCACAGGAATACAATCTATTGATGCGCGTAGGCACTCTTACAAGTTACTCTGAGTTTTTGTTGAGTACAATCAATTATGTTTGCTTCAATTATGAGGAATAGTATTGGAGTGTTCTGCAGCCTTTTCAGATCATGAGCGATGATTTTACGAGTCTTTGGTGGGGCAATATGTTCCAGGACCGATTATTGATTTGGTAGAATTTTTCCCGATTTTGCATGTTGACATCCTTTTCATGGAATAGGATAGCCTAACAACATTCATCCTTTCTCTATAATGATTTTCTTACCCAAACCTGGATAGGATGCTCTCATTGACACGCTAGTATTCACGTCACTTTCATAACCAAATCAATTGGAATTTTAAAAAAATCGTGTATGTAAAGTTACGAGTAAATTTACGAGATTATAGGTATCATATTCTAGTTTTTTTTTCTTTTAATTTTAGATTGTATCTGAAAATATAACCGCAGCTATGTCTCTTAATGGGGAAGAGGTCGCTCAACTACCCCTGATCAAAACGATGAGAGTAGTAAAAAAAGAAATTCTCAAGTTAATTGCCGATTGGATTTCTAGATCAAATGATGACAAAATTGTTTTGGAAAACTTTGTTCCACCATTCATGAGTGCCGTCTTATTGGACTATCAGCGAACCACCGTGCCTAGTGCGAGAGAACCCGAAGTTCTTAGCGCCATGGCTACTATGGTTAATAAATTGAAAGGAAATATTAATTTGGAGGTAGGAGACATATTTTATTTTATCTCCAGGGCATGGTATTCACTTGGACTGATTTAGAAGTATCACTTCGTTGAACTTCTATCAAGCTTAGCTAGTTACAAAACTAAATCACAACTCACTACCTTACCAAGACTCGCGTTCTACTTATTATTCGATTATTAACTTCTTCGCTATTTACTCCGTAAGGCTACTTTCTTTTGGAAGATTTAGAATACGTTGTTTATAAAAGACAACCTGCTGCTAAAATTTACGATCTTAGTGCGGCTATATCAATCGGTAGTTATAAGTACTTGTTAGTTAACAAAAACCTTAGATTGTGTCAATGTCAATACTTATGATATATTTTTTTTTGTGTGTGGCACAATCTGGGTGGGGTTCTTGTATACTAACAAGGACTTAAACCAACGATTGATCTCGTCGCCCTAAATAGGCGAATTACAGCATGTCGGTCAACTCCCAATGAAGAAGTTATTACTCGAGGCTTGGAATGGATCCATCTAATCTTCCAATCATTTCTAGTTTCTTTTATAAGGAGACTCATTGCAATAATGTTTGTTTGAATAGCACTGGTTGGTCAAAAAACTATAAATGGTGTTCCACTTGACCCCCATGTCTCCGTTAAAGATTCTAAGGATGACTTCTACCTCTCCTAAAGGGCGGGAAGTTTTCAAATTCACACCCTGTTAATATAGGTAATATTAACATAATAATTACCTATATTAATAGACACTTACCAGTTAAACCAGTTAAGTCAGTTTGATAGATATATGATTGTTGTTGTCAATTAATATAATAATTGTAATATTAAACGTTCCTGAATAAACCTATATTATAAAATAAAACATGGCGCAGTCGTAATAGTGAACCGACCTACGAAGAAATGGAATTTAACAAGCCCAAAGAGCTATTCCTTAGTGGAAATGTTGCTGAAAATTTTCGTAACTTTAATGATGAAGTACAGATTTATTTTTTGGCTACTGAAACGAATAAAAAATCGAAGGAAGTTCAAGTAGCAAGATTAAAGAATTTGGTGGGATCAGAAGCTCTAAAGTTGTACAAATCTATTTCTGATCTGAAGCCAGAAGAAGAAAATGTTGAGAAGATCTTACGCGTTTTGGAAAATCATTGCATACCCAAAGAAAATGAAATAATGAATGTATACCAATTCTTAAATAGGAAGCAACAAGAAGGTGAGCCGTTTGAAAAATTTTATGCTGACCTAAAATTTCTGATCAACTTATGTCATTTTGAAAGTCAGGAAAACAAATTATTGAAAGCGCAAATTGTATTGGGAATTTTTTCAAAAAATTTGAAGGAACGTTTTTTACGTGATGACTGTTCATTAGAAAAAATGATTGATGTATGCAAATCTGTTGAATTAGCAGAAAAAAATATCAAAATTTTATCTTCAATTCCCAATGACATGTGTGTTGACAAAGTTACATATAAAACTGACAGATCAGTGATCAAAAAAATACAATTCAACAAATTTAAATGTTTTCGATGTGGTTCCCAGCATGATTATGGTAATTGCCCAGCATTTGGAAAAAAATGTTTCAATTGTTCACGTATTAACCATTTTTCTTCGGTGTGTAAAACCATAGACTTAGATACTACGAATAGACGTCCAGTCAAATGGTAAAAATCTGCGACGCTATTTGGAGGCTCGCTATCAAAAGCGAGCCTCCAAATTCAATTCAGGCTTTGGTATTTTAGATGCTTGATACGAGATGGCGCGCATTTCTGTCATAATTTACAGTGACTCTATCACCTACAGTGGCGACAATTGCTGTCTTATTTTTGATTGGTTCTAAAATCCCATATATTTATATTGAAAACGCCGCCATCTTGTTCCCACCTATTGCTTATTTCAAATATAAATATATGGGATTTAGGTGAACATCCATCATAAAACATGGAAAACAACGTATTTGATGGACCTAATAATAGTCATCAAATACGTCGATTTCAATTTTTTATGAAGGATGTCCATTTAAATTCTATAAATTCATATTTAAAAGTAACAAGAGGTTGGGAACAAAATGGCGGCGGGACCTCTATTGTCGCCACTGTATGTAAAGGTTTATTTAGCCACTGTATCATAATTTAAATTCGCGCGTGACGCTGTTGCCAATAGTTCTAAAATAACTAGTCCGAAATCATTAAATAGGCCAAACCATACATTAACACACCAATTTTTTTTATTACTGCATCTTATACCTACTAAATATTATACGCAAATTAATAAATTGTTAATGTTAAGATTTTTTTTTAATATAAATAAACCGGTGATAGAAAATAGACTAAAAACGCATTAATCCAGCAAAATTATGCCATTATTAAAAACTTATATTCATATTCGCAAACTTTCCCAAACATTTGAACATGCTTGAAAGAATTAGAAAATTAAAGTTTACTGAGTTAAAATTCTTCCGTCTTTTTATATTTATATCGAAAACCGGCACAATAACCCTATAAACCAGGCATTTATACAAATTAAATTCATATTAGTTTTAAACAATAAGTTTTTCCTTACCAATATTTTGGATCTATTCCTTACAAATTTCTCCATTATCAATGGGAATCTGAAATAATCTCACCCCGTCGTTGCTCTGACTTTTACCACAACTAAAGTAGCAACATTTGTTTCCAGACATTTTGAAAATTAGTTCTTTGAAATCCAAGCAATAATTTATTTCTTCGAAAGTCGCAAATAGCAAAGAGAATTCTTGTCTAGTTTTTTGTCCGTATAAATTTGAAAACACCGAAACATCAGAAAAAAGGCGGAATGCGGTTGTCCTGGAAACAATGACACGCTGCTCGTACACAAGGGTGCTAGCACAGTTTTCTTTGAATTTTTATTACGAGTGGCGCCATCTTATGAATTATTGAGGCATTTTTTGTGCTGCTATTTCCACTGGACGTCTATTCGTAGTATTTAAGTCTATGGTTAACAAAACGATGTAAGAAAAAATTGTAATGAAGTAGAAACACAAAATGAATCCCGAAATGCTGTGGAAGTATATGAAGTAAATGGAAAAACGGAATTATCCGAAGAATTATCCAATTCATGGTTTTCTATAAATGTAATAAATAATGCAGGTGACCTCCAGACTGAAAAATCTTGGTATAAATGGTTGAAACTGGAGGATTTGGAAATCAAATTTAAGCTTGATACAGGTTCAGAGGTGAATATTTTGCCATTAAAATACATCAAGCAACTTGGTTTGCAAGATAATATTAAATTTTTCAATATAAATTTAATTGCCTACGGGAGATTCAAAATTAAATCATTAGGTAAAATTGTTTTTCAAGTGGAAACAGATAAAAATATCAATATTTTAGAATTTGTTGTAGTTAAAGACGATTGTGTTCCGATATTAGGGTTAAATTCATGCCTCAATTTGAATTTAGTTAAACGTATTGATACAATAGCAAATCATTCAAATTTATGTAATAAAACATTTTTTTTTGAAAAATATAAAGACACATTTGAAGGTTTAGGCTGTTTTCCTGATATTTGCCAAATTAAGCTTCATAAAGATGCTATTCCTTTTGCCAGTTCTGCTCGTAGAATACCTATGAAAATCAAAGATAGATTAAAACCAGCTTTAGATTTTTTGGTTGAAAGGGAAATTATAGTTTCAGTAAATGAACCAATCGAGTGGGTTTCTAATATAGTAATTGTCGAAAAACCTAATAAATCTTTAAGAATTTGTATAGATCCAATTCATTTAAACAAATTTATTATTAGGGAAAGATATACTATTCCTACAATAGAGGAACTAGCACCATCTCTTTCATATAAAAAATATTACAGTGTGCTTGATATTAAAGATGGTTTTTATCATTTAAAATTAGATAAGGAGTCAAGCCAACTCTGTGCATTTAGTACAGTATTCGGAACATACAAATTTTTAAGAGCATCATTCGGGTTATGTAATTTACCGGAACTTTTCCACAAATTAGTATTTAAATATTTTGGAGATATTCCAGGGGTCACAATATATTTTGATGATATCTGTATAGCTACCGATACTATTGATCAACATAACCTGGTTATACAGGAAGTTTTGGAACGAGCTAAAAAATATAATATAAAATTTAATTTTGAAAAATTTCAATATTGTGTAGAAGAAATTAAATACTTAGGGGTAATTTTTTGTAAAAATGGAATGTTGCCTGATCCTTCAAAAATTGAAGTAATTAAAAATTTGCCTCATCCAAAAAATAAAACAGAATTACAGAGAATATTAGGTATGATAAATTATTTAAGGCATTTTATTCCAAATTTATCCAAGGTTATTTCTCCTTTGCGCGAATTATTAAAAAAAGACATTGAATGGAATTGGTCAAATCTACAAGTTCAATCGTTAAATAAAATTAAAAATATTATTTGTAGTAGTCAAGTTCTTGCTAATTTTGATATATCACTCCCTATTGTCATTCAGTGTGATGCATCAAAAGATGCACTTGGATGTTGTCTTTTACAAAATAATAAGCCTGTTTGTTTTGCTTCTAGATGTTTAAATTCAGCAGAAATTGAATATGCGCAAATTGAAAAAGAACTTTTGGCTATTACTTTTTCCTGTCAGAAATTTCATAATTATATTTATGGACACAATGATGTTACTATTTATACAGATCATATGCCATTATTATCTATCATTTCAAAAAGCATTGGGAAAATACAAAATAATAGAATTCGGCGTTTGAAACTAAAGTTATTTTTGTATAATTTTAAAATAAAATATTTGCCTGGCAAAAAAATGTATATTTCAGATTTTTTATCAAGATGTAATGTAAAAACACCTATACAGGGTGTCCCAAAAAGATACCGACAAACTTAAAGGGGTAGTAGGGGACATCAAAAGAAGCATTTTTGTTTATATAAACATATGTCCGCAAATGAGCCATTTGGGCTGTAGTGCAAAAAAACTGTTTGGTATCTAGTTTTATTCTTTGCAATAATTAAATCACTGTTTACTTATTAATTTTGCTTTAATAGCAAATAAATTATGGTTTACAATAATTGTTCAACTCGCGAACTCTTTGGAATATTCCGGCAATAGCTTCTACATGGGTACAACTCGCCAGTATCCTTGCTATCAGATCTTCCACATTACGAACAGGTGTTTCGTAGACTAAACTTTTCAGTCAATGACCCGACGATGTAATTTTTGCATTAAAGTAAATGGTCAACATTTTGAACAATTATTCTAAACCATAATTTATTTGATAATAAAGCAAAATTAATAAGTAAACAGTGATTTAATTATTGCGAAGAATAAAAGTTTCAAACAGTTTTTTTGCTCTACAGCCCAAATGGCTCATTTGCGGACATATGTTTATATAAACAAAAATGCTTGTTTTGATGTCCCCTACTACCCCTTAAAGTTTGTCGGTATCTTTTTGGGACACCCTGTATATCATGATCATTTAATGAATGACGTTGTGCATGTAATAACAGATAAAACTTTAAATATTTCTGATGAAAAATTGAAAGAATTTCAAGAAGAATCTCTCAAAGATAGTGTTCTATCTAATATTATAAATTTTTATAAAAATGGTTGGCCAAAAAATTTCAATATGACCGGTGAATTAACTCATTATTACAAATTAAGAAATAATATAGAACTTGCAGATGGTTTACTTTATTATAATGATCGATTGATGATACCAAGTTCAATGAGAAAATTTATGTTAAACTTATTACATGAAACACATTCCAGTGCATCTAAAGTGCTTGAAATTGTTAAAAATTTCTTTTACTGGCCAGCAATCATAAATGATGTTAAAAATGTGGTGTCTTCTTGTTCATTATGTCAAAAATATGTCAGATCAATGTCAAAAGAGCCCCTTATAAATCATACCATACCTAATATTCCATTTTATAAAATTGGTGCTGATATTGCACAATACGCTGGAAAAAATTATCTTGTTATTATGGACTATTTTTCTAGATGGATTGAAATTTGTCGGATTAAAAATAAAACTTCTACTTCTTTGATAAAAGAATTTAAAGGCGTTTTTAGTAAATTAGGAATTCCTTCTTTGCTAATTACTGACAATATGCCATTTTCATCTTTTGAGTTCAAAATGTTTGCTAAAGATTGGAATTTTACTATTCAAACAAGCAGTCCACATTATCCTCAATCTAACGGACTGGCGGAAAAAGCCGTTGGTATTGCCAAAACTATGCTCAAAAAAGCACATGATTCTGGTATCGATTTGGAATTATATTTGCTAAATTATCGTAATTCACCTGTAGCAGGTCTTATTTACTCACCAGCACAATTGATGTCAAGTAGAATTTTAAGATCCAAATTACCAATTTTATCAGAAAATTTAATACCGAAACTTGTACCTAGTGCAGTTTCCACAGAAATGGAAAATATGCAAACCAGGCGAAAAGAGTATTACAACAAAAATAGTATCGGTGAAACTGATTTTGTTGAGGGGGAAAAGGTATTGATTCAAGACGTTTCTACTAAGCTTTGGCATCCAGGAGTTATTATTAGTAAATGTTCACAGCCTAGATCTTATTTAATTAAAACATTGGATAATGAAAATGTTTTACGAAGAAACTCACGGTTTCTACGAAAATATAAAACAAATTTAATTTAGAATTTAAAGGGGAAGATGTTAATATAGGTAATATTAACATAATAATTACCTATATTAATAGACACTTACCAGTTAAACCAGTTAAGTCAGTTTGATAGATATATGATTGTTGTTGTCAATTAATATAATAATTGTAATATTAAACGTTCCTGAATAAACCTATATTATAAAATAAAACACACCCTGTGTATATTCTAATTAAGTATGCTAGGAGATAAGGCCGCCTCCCTGCTACCATGGTCACCAAAATACTGCTATAGTTTACATGTATCTGTAAGTAAATAGCACTATTTTGGATCGCCTTCGCCTTCAGTGTAATTGACATTATCCCATTCAAGTAATTTTTTTATGTTGTTCAAATGAAATGGGAGAAAACTTTTATCGGGCTGAAATTTGATAGTTCATACAATTGAAAAGCAATTTTCATTAAAGCTGTTTCTTCAGGTACCTAAAATTTTGGATGCTGTCTTTGAGTGTACACTAGAGATGATAAGCAAAAACTTTGAAGAGTTTCCAGAGCACAGGGCTAATTTCTTTTTGGTTCTACAAGCGATCAATTGTCACTGTTTCCTGGCCTTTCTGAATATTTCCCCCACCCAATTCAAGGTAAGTTAATTTAAAATTAAATTTTTGGGTGTGTGGTTGTTGTGTCCAAAGCTGGACAAGAAACATTTAATCCGTTAATCGTTACTCAACGAAATTAACAAAATGCGCTTAAATTTAAATTTTAAATTATCCAATAAATATATTGATGGTTGGTTTTGTTAACGTTTTAACTTCAAGCCCGCAATACAGGGTGTCCCAGCCGAAACTGGAGCATTAAATAACTATCCTCGAAACTAGGAAAGATAAAACGATGCGGTTTGCACCATTGCTAATTACCCAATAAATTTTTAGTCCGTTATAGAAATCTTTTTTAGCATTATACCAAGCGATAATTAAAAAAAAGTCCTGTGCAGTTCACACCCGGTAGAACTGAAACCTTCATCGAACTGCATGCCTTACACGCATACTAACATACACAGTGGCGCCCCCTCCCTCCAAAAGACTTGAGAAAGAATGCAAATAAATATAGTTTGAAAAAGCTAAAATACACGCTGGGGTGCTTTGTTCCACATGTCTCATACATTGAGCACCCCACGCTTTTTTGATAATAATTCTAATATTTTTTGTTCATTAATATTTTCTGTTTATATTAAACATTATTTTTCACTTTTTAGTTCAATTTACTATAAAAGCGTGTTTTTTAGTTTTCTTAAAATATATTTATTTTTCACTTTTTAGTTCAATGTATTATAAAAGCGTATCAGCCCCAGAGATTTCCACACTTTTCCAGACATTATCCAGACTTAGGGTTTCCATAAAGGCTCTTCGGAATTCAGGACAAAGGAGTCAAGAAATCTGGACATCGCCGAAAAATTATTTAAATTTTTTATAAAGGATGACATTATGTCTTTTTTGCCTTTATGAGCAACACTCAAATCAAATTTGTATTGCATACGATACATAAGACATCAGAATGGACCTTTCTCATGCAATGCACAACAAGGATAGTTTATTAAAATTTATGTAATAAAGAAAGAGACACATATAATGACGCGCGATACCTGTGTGGAATGACTTTGATTGGTTCCACTTGTCAAATTGTGCAATTTCGGTTATGTTTCTGTTTTTGTTTATTTTTAAATGTAAATATGACAAATATGCGGGGGTAAAGTTTAGAAAAGTTTGAGAAGTACGAATTTGCACGTGCTATTAAACCTCTAATTTTACAATTATTATTGTATTTGATATAGAAATCGTTATTTTACGAACCATCAAACCTCTGTTCCAACTTAAATCGTCTTCAGTCAGGTTGAAAGCATGTAACCATTGTTTTCTTAAAATTGGATTGCTTGAGAACTTGTAAAAAGAAAGGTTTGACTTCTTTTTCGCCTTACTCTGACAAGATCTCACGCAACACACTTGAACTATTGTATAGAAACAGTTTTTGTAATAATTTTCAGCAATATTGATTGATTATTGAGGTTAGCTTAAAAAACGTCAGGGTCAGACCGCGTTCCCGCGTTCATTCAAATGACAATTTTATTATCTGTCACCCACAAGCTGCGCGCGCAGCACAGGTAAAATGAGAAAGGTCCATTGGCTTTTCCTTTTTTAATTGAAGGGGACGCTTTTCTTCCGTTACTACGCACTTCCGTTTTGGCCATAGATGGCCATAGATAAGGTTTTGGCATCATTAAAAGTCAGAATATTTCTATCAAAAGTCTGTCAAAAAGGTAAAAAAAAATTGAATCGCGAATAAACAGGCTCTTGTGTAATAATCACGTATTTAATAGTGTATTGTTGTATTAGGAGTAGAAGCTTTACTTTTTTGTGCTGAAGCAGTAGGTTTGCGAGCCGAACGTAGTGAGGCTTGCAATACTGCTGATTGCTGAAGCACAAAAAAGTGCTTCTACTCCGTATGCACCACGCTATTTTTTCTCCAAACTAATGGGGTAAGCTCGGGGGCAAGTGGATGGTTGAGCGGCAGTAAAAGTACGAGCGGCACTTATAAGTTATTTGTATACCAGGGCCCGCTTTAGGGGGGGGGGGCAACCCGGGCGTTTGCCCGGAGCGGCAAAACTTGGGGCGGCATTTATATCTATAAAACAAAACAAATAAATAAATAAATAAATAAAAGGTCTGTTCGCACAGATATCACAAACCAATTAGAGCGAATTTCATTGGTTGAAAACAGTCAGAGAAACATTCAGAAAACTAGTTTTAACCAATGAAATTCACTCCTCTGACTGGTTAGTGATTTCTGTGCGAACAGACCTAAGGCCGCGAGACCTAGCGAGTCTTAGTGATGCGAGAAAGTGTGCATATACAAAGATTGTATAACTCGCTAATCGCTTGCGATTCTTTTTCTAGCTCCTAATTTGTCCTTCATTGTGTGTAACAAGGAAACACTGTGCGTAAATTTAAAATGGACGTAACGTGTTGTTCCTATTAGAAAATTCGTTGATCGTAAAACAGTTGTGGAGCAGGAGAAGAAGAAGAAGGTGCTGGTCACACGAGATTAACATTTCTTGTCATAATTTCGCAATTAGATGACGGTTGTGGTAAGAAGAACGTTTTTGATTCCATATTGGTGTTCTTAAATTAACTTCTTGTATAAATTTTTCCATATCCATTTTCAAAAACGCAACTCAATCAGCGTCAAATCACAAACTATTTGCCTTTTATCGCTCTGCTCTGATCGTCTTCTTTAGGAGCCGCTTGGACAAGCCTTAAGTATGAACGCGGCTACTTGAAATCGCAGAATTGTATTTTCGCCTTTCTCGCATAGCACGGTATCGCTCGGCTCGGTAGCTAGCTAAAATAGATAAAGGTTTTTGCGCGTGGCACTCGAAAAAAATTTCTTTTTCAGGCGGCGCCTGCGGTGGGCTTTACCAACCCCCCTCCCTTCCGCGAAAATATTGGATATTTACCTACGACTTTTTTTTAATTTTTTTAGGCTGCCTCGCTTGAGATAAAAGTCACGGGCCGCCACTGAATAATCCCCTTTTTCTTCACGTCCAAATTAATTTCTAGGGCGGCAATTCCTATTTTTGCCCAGAATGGCCGAAAGGCTAGAGCGGGCCTTGCCAATAACGATAGTGCTTATCGCGCAAATTCCCGATTAAAATCAACCTTGAGTTAATATATTTCCATCTCACTCTATGTTATAATCAGTACAAAGGAAGACGATTCCTCGAACTCTAACGAAAATTTGACGTCGGAGTGACACCCGAGTATAGAAATGGGGTACGTTCGAAAATGCTTCTGTCGGCATTGGTAGAGATTTGTATCGTAACGATTAAAATATTTATTAACAGTTATACGCTATGTCCAACGTGAACACGATTCGAGCGATGTGGGCGATGCGGCAAACGTACGCACCGTTGAAAAAACGCGACAAATGCGTTTGTGTCCAATGTACCCACGAGATTGTCGGTCGCTGTTCCTTCTTGTCTCCTTGTCTCTTGTGTACTTTTATAAGAAATAGTGTACTGAAATTGAAAATGTCAAGAAGAATTAATGGCCAAGGAAAAAAAAGCGATCACCCCATGAAATATTTCGAAAACGATTAAAGTTCGGAGAATTTCATCATTTATATCAACAGCTAGTGCAGATCCAAATTCCAAACGCATTTTTCTTATTCCATAAAACATCACATTTCTGAATTTCAATAATCAACACTTCCATCGTCGGCATCGTCGTACGAGTTTTGCGTGCAAATTCAAACATGTTTGTATTTTAAACAAAGCGTGCGTTGCGAGTACACAAAATTGCCCGCATCGCCCGCGCAATACATCTACTTCGGACATGCTAATATAAATACATAGGTTTAATGGCAGACGTTCATCGCATCACACGCACCGCATCCGCATCGCACGCACCGCTAGTATCGTGCTCACGCTGGACATAGGATTAGGTTTTTTTCACGATCTACGAGTTTTCCGGACATTGTTCCGAATTCCGGCCGGACTTCCCCGAACACCCTAAAAACCCAAACATGTCCGGGTAAATCCGGATGTATGGAAACCCTATCCAGACTTATTCAGAGATTTCCAGAGTTTTCCAGATTTCATCCAGATTTATCCAGACTGGCAGAATTTTTCCGACCCTTTCCAGAAATTTCCAGGCTCTTTTCAGACGTTTCCCGAGATTTCCAGACTTTTCCAGACTTCATCCAGATTTATCCAGACATTTTCCAGACTTGTTCCAGCTCACTTGGCTTGTTCCAGGTTCTTGTTGTGTGTCAATATAAGCGTGTTAAAAAAGTGTCACTTTTTCGTTTCATGTCGCTTTTTCGTTTCATCGAGTCTCAAATCACTCCCAACGATTCTAAAGAAGTTTTCACTTCAAAAATTTGTTTTAATAACTTCAAAAAACTCAGTTTTCTCAAATTGAATACCCCACATATTTCTACATCGCAAAAAAGCTTTTTTCTCAAGCTTCTCAATAATGAATAGTTTGAAGTTTAAAGCCTTTACTTCTAAAACGAAGCTCTTGAAGACGTGCTTACTGCTTGCCAGTTGGAATTTTTTTATTATCTCTCGGTATAATACTGAAAAAGATTTCTATAACGGCCTAAAAATGTAAGAAGACGTTAATTCCTGCCATGTATTCCGTCATTTCGATTATTCTAACCCAACTTTTGAAGTCAGTCAAATTTAAATTGTTACTTTTGCAGTTTGCTGTGTTTTGTGATATGATCATTATTATTGTTGTTATTCATTTTATTGTTATTGATATTTTTATTAACAATTTAAATTAATTGTAAAAAAATAAATACTGATTAATTCTCATTACAAAATGTATGTTCAGAATGTTCACCAATGATATCAAGCTTGTCTCCGTCTAAAAACCGTTTAATGATTGGTCGCAAAATGAGGTGTTTCTGCAGGTTGACATCAGTTTTACAATAGCGACCAATAAGCAGCATTAGCGGCATTGTTTATGTTTCAAAGTTGACAATGCCAAAATCTATCTTGGAAAAAAATAAACCATAATGTGTCTGGTTTTTTCAATATTTTCTCAACCTTGATCTTCTTTTTAGTCGAGAAGAAACTCTG